CAGGCATGAGCCACTGCTCCCGGCCTCTCCTTCACATTTTGAAATCCCCTAGTCTACCTTCTGACAACTCTGTATAAAAAGTCCAACATCAGCCTACATGATACGTGAGTCTCTATAGCAGCAGAAATCTCTCTTACCTCCTAGCAAAATATAATGCCAGGTATACTGCCTTTCTTTTCCAGTAAGAAGTGTCCTTAAAGAGGCTTGTTTCTTCATAATGGATACATCCTCTCTGAAACTAGGTATCAACCTTAGAACTTCGAATCATTCTCTAATTAGGTAGGAGCACTTCTTGCAACATAATTTATACATTTTATTTTGAAAATACCCCCTGGTAAAATAGAACTAGTATGGTTTCCATTATAACAACCAGTCACAAGTCAAGGGATGATCACCAGAATGATCCCAGGTGTTTAACAGACCCTCCAGTTGGGTCCACTCCGTTACACAAACCAGCCAAATAGGCCCGTGATGACTTTTCTCCATCTTTTCTGTTTCCTTCCAAATTAACCGGGATGTATAATAATCATTAAGAGGAAAATATTGGTTGTTCCAATTCATGTTATCATGCTGTCCAAGTTGTTAGCTATTATAGTGGCAAACTATTTTAGGAAAGTAGATGAAACAAGGGTTCAGGTGCTGGGCAATGTCGAGAAGTTAGTAGTTGTATGTCCACTCTCCAATAGCATAGAATACTTTATAACTAAAAAGAAAATCACTAAAACCAAATCTCAAACATCATTTGAAAATTCAATAGGTGTTTTATTAATATTATTAAAAATATATGTAAATCATGACTGTTTCTTCCCATCCCTAAGAGTAACAATTAAAAACTCTGGATATAAATAGAAAAGTTAGCTGGACATGGTAGTGCACGCCTGTGTCCCAGCTACTTGGGAGGCTGAGGCAAAAAGATCACTTAAGCCTAGGAATTTGAGTTTGCTGTGAACTATGAGGCCAGACTTAAGACTCTGTCTCAAACAAAACAAAACAAAACAAAAGTTGGAAATCTTTTAAACAAAGGTAGGAAGCATTTCTTGGCCTCAAACACAGAGCACTTACAGACTAGATCCTTAAAATCTTTAGAGCAATGTCAAGCCAAAACTAAAATCCAATTTCAGAGTTTAGACAGAAAAATTACCTGAAACTTACGCAACTACTTGAAATTTCAAATCATCTGTGACTCCACCTTTACCAAGTCACGTAGCAGCCCATTACATACATTTTCTGTTTCTGCTTCTTCCCTCATTTGGCTCTATCCTAGGTTTGGTGGAATGGTATTAATACCTTTCCCCTTCTCTGCTAACCAGGAATTTCACCTTTGAATTTCAGATAGTGGAAGTGACACAAACACCCATCAGAAGTTATGGGGTGAACAACTGTTTCAGATGAGAAAGTTTTAATAATCATGGGAGGAGCTGATGGCAGATCCTTTGGGGTCCCATATTATATCCCCTCCACCCATCTTTACATTCAGCTGGGGCAAATAGCTGCAGGTGAGCTTAGAAGCCCTTAGCACTGACAGCGCCCATGAGAATACACATGCACTTTGTACATTTTGCCCCAGGACATTTTCCAGTGCTATAAGAATCTGCTAGACCCACAGACTAGTGCAATCCAGGGCAACCCTTATACAGAGGAGGATGGGAATAAGTGATGATCCAGCCTTCTATCAGATGAACCGTTCTAGCAGGCCCTGAATTTTTTTTTTTGAGACAGAGTTTCACTATGGCGCCCTCAGTAGAGTGCCAGCCTCTCAAGTAGCTGGGACTAAAGATGCCTGCCACAACGCCCGGCTATTTTTGTTGGTGGTGGTGTAGTTGTCATTGTTGTTTAGCAGGCCCAGGCCAGGTTTGAACCCACCAGCTCCAGTGCATGTGGCTGGGGCCCTAACTGTTGAGCTATGGGTGCTGAGCCAAGGCCCTGATTTTTCTCTAGAGCAGCGGTTCTCAACCTTCCTAATGCCACAGCCCTTTAATACAGTTCCTGTGGGTCGCAACACACAAGTTGAGAACCACTGCTCTAGAGGCTCTGAGTGGCTGTGATGCCCACAGCAATAACCCAGACAATGAATGGCCCTTATCTGATCTTTTAATCCTTCTCCCTTCCATTCTCCTCAACCTCTCCTGTGATCATCTTCAATATAAACAACCTTCACTCAATTCCTTGTCTCAGCCTCTGCTTTCAAGTGAACCCAATCCTCAGGCAAGTGAGAAAACAATATTCTGAAGTCCATTCTTCCTCTTAGTAACTTAAGAGAAGTATAGTTATTCCCTCCCATCCTTTTATTTGGTTAAGTGGGGTGATATTTATTTCCATTTTTTATCTCCTTCATGCTCAATATGCTGTCACCACTCTGTTCTGTTTCTCAAACAAACCAGCCTATTCCTGTCTTAGGGTGTGTGTAGTAGCAGTTCCTTCTGCCTGGAATGCTTTCCTTCAATGGCTTTATGTGACTATAACTTCTTGTCATTCAAGTCTCAATTCACCTGTCTACTACTTTGATCACCAAAAGTAACCACCATACATAATCCCCCATTACCCTAACATACCACCTTGATTTATTTTCTTCACACCAGGTATGAATTTATCTGGTTAATTTATTCACTTGTTAATTTCTACTTTTTTTTTTTTTTTTTTGAGACAGAATCTCACTATGGCATCACAGCTCACAGCAACCTCCAGCTCTTGGGCTTGGGCAATTCTCTCGCCTCAGGCTCGCGAGTAGCTGGGACTACTGGTGCCCACCACAACACCTGGCTATTTTTTTGTTGCAGTTTGACTGGGTCTGGGTCCGAACCCGCCACCTTTGGTATATGGGGCCAGCGCCCTACTCACTGAGCCACTGGCGCTGCCATTCATTTGTTAATTTTTTAAAAGCTAGTCAAATGAATATGTGTTTATTGATTATTCCTCAGTTAGAACCTAAGATCCAAGTACAAATAGGTACTCAATATACATTTGTTTATTAATACATCTCCTTTTGCCTATAAAGGATTGATACATTTTTCTTGGACTTCTGCTTAAAATAAATGGGGATTTTTAAAAAGAGACTGATGGCTAACTAGTAACTGGGAAGGGACCGACTCTCCCTTCATATATATCAAAAAGTTGAGGTAGAGAATTCAAAAGGATGATCTGAGTAGAATCCTCTGAAGAAACCTCTGTGAAGAGGTTCTTTCTCTGATTCTCCCTCTCTTCTCCCCACCTTAAATATATTTTGAATGTTATACCTATATGAGTTATAAAACTTGAAAAGTACAAAAAGATGTATATACTATAGTACAATTTAATACTAACTGTTGTAGGCTGCATAATGATCCCCCAAAGCATTCGCATTCTTATCCCTTGAACTTGTCAGTGTTACCTCATATGAGGAAAAAACAAACTGTGCAGATGTGATTAAATTAGGGATCTTGCAATGCTGAGATTATCTTAGATTATCCATGAGGGCTCTGAATAAAATCACGTGCATCTTTGTCAGAAGAAAGCAGGCTAGGTGCAATGGCTCACACCTATAATCCCGGCACTTTGGAGAGACAAGGCATGAAGATCACTTGAGGCCAGGAGTTTAAGTCCAGTCTGGGTGACATAGAGCAACCTGTTTGCTTACAAAACCTGTTTTTTACAAAAAAAATTTAAAAACTAGCTGGATGTGGTAGTGTGTGCCTATAGTCCTAGATACTCATGAGGCTGAGACAGAAAGATTGCTTGAACCAAGTTCAAGGTTACAGTGGTTATAGTGAACTATAATGGAGCCACTACAAGAGGAAGGCAGAGGGAGATCTGACACAGATAGAAGAAGAAAAGGGAATGTGACCATGGAGGTAGAGACAGGAGTGATGTGGCCACGAGCCAGGGCATGCTGGCAGCTACCAGAAGCCAAAAAAGGCAATTTGACTATGATATGTCTAGATGTGGTCTTTTGGTTTATTCCACTTGGTATTCATTGCACTCTTGAATGTATAAATTAACGTTCTTCTTCAAATATGAGAAGTTTTCAAGTTGAGTTTAGTGGCTTACACCTGTAATCCCAGCTACTCAGGAGGCTGAGGCAGGAGAATCACTTGAGCCCAGGAGTTTGAGGCCAGCATGGGCAATAAAGGAAGACCCTGTTTCTAAAAGTGATTTTTTAAAACAGTAGTTAACCTGGCATGGTGGTGCATGCCTATAGTCTAGCTACTCAGGAGTCTGAGGTAGGAGGATGAGCCCAGGAGCTTGAGGCTGCAGTGAGCTATGATCATACCACTGCACTTCAGCCTAGGTGTAACCACAAGACCCTATATCTAAAAATAATAATAATAGCTGGGCATGGTGGCACGTGTCTGTAGTCCCAGCTACTTGGGAGGCTGAAACAGGAGGATTGCTTGCGTCCAGGAGTTCTGGGCTGTACTGTGCTATGCCGACCAGGTGTCTGCACTAAGTTTGGCATCAATATGGTGACCTCTGGGGAGCAGGAGACCACCAGGTTGCCTAAGGAGGGGTGAACTGGCCCAGGTCAGAAACGGAGCAAGTCAAAGCTCCCATGCTGATCAGTAGTGGGATTGTGCCTGTGAATAGCCACTGCACTCCAGACTGGTTAACATAATGAGACCCCATCTCTTTGAAAAAAATAAAAATAAAAATAAAAATAACCAAATATGAGAAGTTTTCAGCCATTATTCCTTCAAACATTCCTTTCAAATATCCTTTTCTCTCATCTTCCCTTTTGAGACTTCTATTATGTGTATTTTGGTACACTCAACTATGCCCTGCAGTTTTTTTTCTTTCCATTTTGTTTTTATAGATTCAATGCAGATTTAATTAAAAATGGAATACATCTTACACAAGGATTTTGTAAATTAGAAATCTTATACCTTTCCATCCAAAATGCACAGACTTCCACAGCTCTCAAGGAAAGAGCATATAGAGAATTTTGATAAGGAGTTGAGGAACAGTTCAAAAACAGATTACAAACAGGGAAGAGTCCGAAGGCAAAAATGATTCAAGAGGCACAGTCCTCAGAAATTGTTTGGGAACGCTGTTTCGCTTATATCAATGTCATGCTCCTGGTTCAGTTTCTTGAACTCCATCTCTTGGAAGAAGATGTGCCCAAGGATATGTTTGGCATCTTGTTGGTCCTTTGGTAGTTTATTGGTTACTCCAAGAATGTCTGGCTTGGCCCTGTGGCTCAACCGGCTAAGGCGCCAGCCACGTACACCTGAGGTGGCGGGTTCGAATCCCCAGCCCGGACCCGCCAAACAACAATGACGGCTGCAACCAAAAAATAGCCGGGCGTTGTGGCGGGCGCCTGTGGTCCCAGCTACTTGGGAGGCTGAGGCAGGAGACTCGCTTGAGCCCAGGAGTTGGAGGTTGCTGTGAGCGTGATGCCATGGCACTCTACCCAAGGGGACAGCTTGAGGCTCCGTCTCAAAAAAAAAAAAAAAAAAAAGAATGTCACCACACTTCCTGACATAAAATTCCAGATCTTCTTCAGTACACTTATTGGTAATCTGAGCAAGGTGTGTCTTCTCAGAGGAGAATGTCTCATCTGAGTCAAACAGCTCCAGAAGAGGAGGTGGTAATTCCCTGAAATGAGGAGGAAAAACCAAAGGCCAAAGGGCTGGCAGTGGCGTCTCAAACTGAGGATGGAAAAGCTGGAGTGGTTCATGTTTCACGTTTAGGTGCTCATGTGCCTTGATGACCTTAGGGAGGGAGGTGGCATCCAGTTGGTAAATGGACAGGTCAAAGAGGGTGGTAAAGTCCCAAGGGTTCTCATCGCCCTCCTGTAGACACACTCCAAGTCGCTCTGAAAGGGTGGCTGTGTCGGGCAGCATCATGTAGTCAGAAATCTCAGCGTCCTCAGCATCAGTCTGATTTAGTTGGATGTCTTCTGTGGTGAGCCACTGGAAAACAACATCTGTGATTTTTCTGTTTTCTTCTTTATCCAAATATTGGTCACAGAGCCAAACACTGCCACCTTCCCACCTTGACTCTTTGAATAATAGAAAGCCAGGATGGGTCTGTTAAGTGGAAAACAGACAGGGCCTGTAGACAGAACAGCCACTGCTGGTTTCACGACACTCAATGTGGCACCAAAAGGATAGACAAAGGTGAGAGCCTGGGCATTGTTGCCACTGCTTTCTTCATCAATGATTCCAGGCACAGCTTTTCCTACAGCTCGACTAATTTCCCTGTTCAAAACTCCATTGGAAACTAAAGCTTCTTTAGGATGGAAATATTGATGATATACATTTCTAACAACAGCATCATTATTAACCACAATTCCATATTCTTCTGGCAAAAAGTTGATATTGGTATCAAATCTGGATTCTCCACCTTCTTCTAGCATCACAAGGATATCGCCACCACTGTCAAGGTATTTCTTCAGGACTTCAAACTCAGTTGCAGTAAATCTTTCCCTTGGCTCAGCTGTAATCCACAGTTTTGCCCCAATTAATTTCTCAGATGTGATTTCATCTTTTAAGCTCTGAATTTTCCAGTTACTCTGAAGTTTCTTCTGCATGGATTTATAGCCATTGTTGGTGGTAAATAGCTCCTTTTTGTATGCATTAAATAGAATGGTGCACCAGAGTTCTTTCTCCATAGTTGCCTGAGGCCCAGTGACCCCCATCTTCACCTCTTTTCTTTCCTTTTTTAAGACAAAGTATCATTCTGCCACCCAGACTGGAGTGTAGTGAGCTAATAATTATAGCTCATTGTTTTTGTTTTTGTTTTTGTTTTTGTTTTTGTTTTGTAGAGACAGAGTCTCACTTTTTCGCCCTCGGTAGAGTGCAGTGGAGTCGCTCCAGCAACCTCCAACTCCTGGGCTTAGGCGATTCTTCTGCCTCAGCCTCCCAAGTAGCTGGGACTACAGGCGCCCGACACAACGCCTAGCTATTTTTTGTTGCAGTTTGGCCAGGGGCTGGGTTTGAACCCGCCACCCTCGGTATATGGGGCCGGCGCCCTACTCACTGAGCCACAGGCGCCTCCCAATTATAGCTCATTGTAACCTTGAACTGCTAGGCTCTAGTGAACCCCTGCTTTGGGCTCCTGAATAGCTAGGAGTACAAGTGTATACCACCATGATGGCTAATCTTTTTTTGTGGAGATGGGGTCTTGCCATGTTGCTTGGGCTGGTCTCAAATTCCAGGCCTCAAGTGATTCTCTTGCCTCTGCTTCTCAAAGTGCTGGGATTATAGGTGTGACCCATTATGCTCAGCCTTCCACAGTTCTCTGAGGCTTTATTCTTACTTTCTTTCTGCACCCCAGATTGGATCTCAATTGACTGGTCTTCAGATTTGCTGATCATTTTTTCTTTCAGATCAAAGCTACTGTTGAGCACCTCTAGTGGATTTTTCATTGCAGTTCTTATACATTTCAACTCCAGAATTTCTACTGTGAGCTGATTTCTGTCCTTTATTGATATTGTCTATTTGGTGAGATATTGTTGTCATACTTTCCTTTAGTCCTTTTGACATGATTTCCTTTAGTCCTTTAAACATATTTACAATAGCTGACTTAATGTCCTTGTCTGCTAAGTCCACAATCTAGGCTTTTTCCGGGACATTTTCTGTTGGCTGCTTTCCAGGATTTGTTACTGTTTGAGTTTTTGGGTTTTTTTGTTTTTTTTTTGGCCAGGGCTGGGCTTGAACCCCCACCCTGGTATATGAAGCCGGTGCCCTACTCCTTGAGCCACAGGTGCCACCCTGCTTTTGTTTTTGTTTTTTAATTGCTGCTTATTTGTTTGGTGACTCTCTTGGACTAATTCTGTAGATTCCATATTCTTTGTAGTGTATGGCAACTGTTGTCTGCTAGCTTTAAAAAGAAATTTGTTTCTATTTTTAAGACTGAATTGCTAGAGTTCATTGCTGGGTCAATATAATTTAGTGAACAGCCATTGATTAAGCAGATTTCCTTCCAGGATTTGTCTTTATGTCTTTTTATTCTTTGGCAAGGGACTCTGTGAGAAAACATGCGTTCATACTTAAGGCATTTACAAGACAGCCTTCACTTTCACTTTCTGCTTACAGAGAACCTTAAGGTCAGCCAGAGGTGAGATGAGTGGGAACTTCTCTGTTCCCATATCACTCCTAGGTACATGCACAGCCTTGTTCATTCACAAGGTTTTTTAGATCCCCGGAATATGCTGGAGCTTTTCAAAGTTTCCGATGGATATCTAGTTCTGTAGGATGTACTTTTTTTTTTTTTTTGAGACAGAGCCTCAAGCTGTCCCCCTGGGTAGAGTGCTATGACATCACAGCTCATAGCAACCTCCAACTCCTGGGCTCAAGCGAGTCTCCTGCCTC